GTTACAATGTTACAAAAATTCAATAAACTAATATACACACCATGTGCTTCGTTGCTGCCGAAGTCACGAGTAGGTCTTTATTGGCTTTACTCAGATTGTAATTGTATTAGGGTAGTGCATAAATAATTTTACTTTTTTTAGTCTACATACTTTTGAGCATAACTGAAATTATTTATGCATCGCTCTAATATTAAAATTTTGCGAAATTTTTATACCTGGGACATTTGTATTTGTATTGATGTTACTTTAAATTCTATGACCAAACTATTTGTTTGCTTAGAATTTTTATTATTTTTCACGTAAACAGGTAAGTATACATATTTATAAGTTATGAAAATAGGAAGGAACGCGTGAAAGAAAGAAAATGTTAGCATTAAAGTTTAATAATCCATTGAAATTGTATTTTTAATATTAGTTATTATAAGAAAATTACTATGTATAAGAGTGATGATTTTTATTGTATTTAAGAACAGTTCAGTCTGTAAAATAAGAATTACTACATTTTCTAAGGTGTACAGAATTAAATAGCGAAACTTGCATCCTACCATGCATACATTATGCTATGTATAGTTGTAAAGCTATATATGTATATACTTATTGAAAAATTTATAGTTGTAAAATTGCATACGGATATATTTATTGAATTGAATTATTCGAAATAAAAGTTAAAAAAATATTTTCGGTCATAAGACTTGATCTGAACATTTTTATTTGTCCAACAAAATATTCTATATATTTACCTATCACATATCCCCATTCTACAAAAGAAAAATGAATCTTTAAAGAAAATGTAAATCATCTTCAACTTATTAAATTATAAACTAAAATTCCATTGAAATTTGTAAGGACATAAATCTAAAATGTCCTCTCTCTTGATTCTATTTTTCTGTTTAAAAAAACAAAATTTTTTTTTCTACATAGATGAGACGTGAGAATTCTGCTTGGAGAGTTTATGATAGGTCCGCGACAAAGGCTATTTTTGAGAAAGACTTTTTCCTTACTTCCTGCAATACTCATTTACCTTTTTTCGTACAATAGCGTTAAATTTTTAGTTTCGTTTCGTCCTCGATAGCCAATTCCTGTCATAAATCCGGTAATTCTGAAGGGACATTTAGACGGTACAGCCATCGGGCCTGAGACCCAGAGGAAAAACCCCGGCGTTGCCGGACTTGCAGATTTCTCACGTACGCTCTGGTACCGTCCCACCCTCCTAAAGAAACGCGCTAAGGGCGTAACGGAAGGGTGGGAGAAAGTCAAGGGACACGTTGATTGGAAAATCAAAAATCGAATGATGACCAATCAGCGTGTTTCCAAGACTTTCGCCAGGGCTCCTTAGCTCGCACGATCGAGAGCTAAGGACAGAACGCATCGTACGACAGAACCTATTTATCATTCGAACCGAACATATCTAACATTCGTACAGAACATCTCGCACATTCGAAGAGAACATAACTTTCAATAAGTCAACGTTACAGACTTAGCCATTTTCCGGAGTCAATCGTTCGGACTCACTTTGAATCACTGCTCGAAAGTTAATTCCGCAGAGCAGCGCGTCGCGAAGGATCGTAGCCAAACGAGTCACGAGATTTACGACCTCGTGGCACGGAGTTAAAAAATCCGTGCGATCAGTTCGCGACGCGAATAACCTCGTACGAGTGGTTACATCGAGAGACACGGATTTTGTACCAATTTTTACGTACATTTTGCAATTTATCTTAAAAAGCGAGGGTCTAATGAAAAATTGAACTATACCACGCGATAGAGCAGATTTTCATCTTTAAAATGCACTCATAGAAAGTTGCAACATCGTTTTTTTACGATGCCAGAAAGCAAAATAGCAACGCGTGAGACGAAGCCAAGACAGTGGTGCTCCGCGTCAGAGCGGCCGTTCCGAATCACGCCTATATTACCGCGATGACGCTCATAGACGCCAATATGCGTAAAATTTTATCAAAAAGCAATATTAATTTAGTTTTAAAATATATTAAGAATTTTAATTGGTCAGGAAAGGCAATAAAGGCAAAAGCTGTAATTAATGTTTGAGAGTCACTGCTGATAAGAAGGTAATTTTCGTTTCCGCCGCAAGGTGGCTTTCAACATGAAGCAGTTATCACATTTTCTCGCAAGTTATCACATAATGACTTGTAAGTATATATACAAGTTGTGGGAAAAATTTATGTTCGGGGTCCGTGGCGTGAAATATGAGAAAGAAGCGTATACTACTATATTACGCGTTAAATAAGAATATAGCAGTTGCCGATCGACGCCGCTGGTCCCGGTCCGGTCCGTCCGTTCACCAGACGGACGGACC